AGGGTGGTATAGAATCAGGTTATTGGATATTAGATATCTTATTCTTTGTGGGCTTGGCAGTGTATTGAAAATATGTTTCTTCAAAGATCTAAATTTTTTGTGGCAAAGAATCCTTTGAAATATTTTGTCAACTCCACTGCCGGAAGTAGAAAACCTCCATTTATTTTGAAATTAGTCACACTACAGAAGCCCGAGTTAAATATAAGAATGAAATTAAATCTTATTTCACATATCAATCCAGATAAGATTAGCTGTTACACACACACATGCACATATACATACAAATACACACATAGAATGCACACACACACATTGTGCTTGCATCAGATGCCAGCTTGTTCATGAGTTTGCAGTCAAGATAATAGCTGGAGCTTTAGTCTCATGAAGGTTTGATTGAGGCTGGAGGGTCTACTTTCAAGCTCACACGGCTATTGGCAGGAGGCCCCAATTCCTTGCTGGCTGTTGTCTGAAAGCCTCATTTTCTAATCCATGTTTTTCCCATTTCAAATCCTATATTTCTCCTCATCCCAACCCATGATGCCTCCCCATCTTTTTTTTTTCAATTAGTAGCAACATCCAATATTATTTTATATTAGTTTCAGGTGTACAGCATACTGGCCAGACATCCACACAATTTACAAGTGATCCCCCTGACAAATCCAGCATCCACCCAGCACCACCCACAGTCACCATGATACCATTGACCATATTCCTCATGCTACATCCCCGAGACGGTTTTGTAACTACCAATATGTACTTCTTAATCCCTTCACCTTTTTCACCCAGCCCCTCAACTCCCACTCCTATCTGGCCATCACCAGTTTGTTCTCTGTATCTATAAGTCTGTTTTCATTTTGTTCCTATTCCACATATAAGTGAAATCATATGGTATTTGTCTTTACCTGACTTATTTCACTTAGCATAATACCCTCTAGGTCCATATATGTCATTGCAAATGGTAAGATTTCATTTTTTATGGCTGAGTAATATTCCATTGTATAAATGTTCCTCCACTTTATCCAATCGTCTATTAGTAGGCTCTTAGGTTGCTTCATATCTTGGCTATGGTAAATAGCACTTCAGTGAACATAGGGAGGCATATATCTTTTCAAATTAGTGTTTTGGTTTTCTTTGGATATCCATCCAGAAGTGCAATTGCTAGGTTATAAGGTAGTTCTATTTTTAATATTTGAGGAAACTCCATACTGTTTTCCATAGTGGCTGTACCAATTTGCAATCCCACCAACAGTGCATGAGGGTTCACTTTTCTCCACTTCCTCACCAACACTTGCTTGTTGGTTTATTGATGATAGTCATTCTGGCAGGTGTGAGGTGATAACTCACTGTGGTTTTAATTTGCATTTCTTTGATGATTAGTGACATGGAGTATTTTTTCATATGTTTATTGGCCATCTGTATGTCCTCCTTGGAGAAATGTCTATTCAAGTCCTTTGTCCATTTTTTAATTGGATTGTCTGTTTTTCGGGTGTTAAGTCATATGAGTCCTTTATAAATTTTGAATATTAACCCCTTATAAGATTATCATTGGCAAATATCTTCTTCTAGTTAGTAGGTTGTCCTTTTGTTTTGATGATGGTTTCCTTTAAGGTACAAAAACCTTTTAATTTGATGTAGTCTCATTTGTTTATTTTTCTTTTGCTTTTCTTGCTTGAGGTGAGATATCTAAAAAATATATTACTAAGAGCAATGTCAGAGTTTACTTCCTTTGTTCTCTTCTAGGAGTTTTATGGTTTGGAGGTCTAACATTTAAGTCTTAAATACATTTTGAGTTTATTCTTGTATATGGTGAAAGAAGGTGGTCCGTTTTTATATCTGTTTAGTTTTCCCCAAATCATTTATTGAATAGACTATCTTTAGGCCATTCTACATTCTTGCCTCCTTCATCATAGATCTTCTTCTTCTTAAAGAAGTACCTTTAACATTTCTTGTAATACTCACTTGGTGGTAATGAATTCCTTTAGCTTTTTCCTGTCTGGGAAGCTCTTTATTTCACCTTCAATTTTATTTGATAGCCTTGTTGTGTAGAATAGTCTTGGCTGCGGGTCCTTGCTTTTAATCACTTGGAATATTTCATGCCAATCCCTTCTGTCCCACAAAGTTCCTATTAAGAAATCAGACAGTCTTATGGGAGCTTCCTTGTAGGTAACTAATAATTTTTCTCTTGCTGTTTTTAAGATTCTCTCTTTGTCTGTAACCTTTGCCATTTTAATTATGATGCACCTTGATGTGGGTCTGTTTGGGTTCACCTTGTTTGAGATTGTCTGTCCTTCCTGGACTTATGCCTTTTTCCTTCACCAGGCCAGGGAAGTTTTCAGTCATTATTTCTTTAAATAATTTCTCAATCTCTTGCTTGCTTTCTTCTCCTTCTGGTACCCTTATGATGCAAATGTTGTTTGCTGATGTTGTCCCAGAGGCCCCTTACACTATACTCATTTTTTAAATTCTTTTTTCTTATTGCCGTTCTGATTGGATATTTCTGCTATCTTGTCTTCCAAATTGTTGATTTGATTCTCTGCTTCATTCAATCTACTGTTGATTTCTTCTAGTGTATTCTTTATTTCAATCATTGTATTCTTCATTTCTAATTGGTTCCTTTTTACGTTTTCTATTTCCTTGTTTATGCTTATTATCTCTTTGTTGAAGTTCTCACTGAGCTCATCTAGTCTTCCCCTAAGTTCATTGAGCATCCTTATAACCAGTGTTTTGAACTCTGCATCTGGTAGGTTGCTCTTCTCCATTTTATTTAGTTTTTTTTTTCTGGAGTTTTCTCCTGTTCTTTCATTTGCGATATGTTTCTTTGTTTTCTCATTTTAGTTGCCTCTTTGTGTTCTTTTCTATGTATTAGGTTGATCTGTTACATCTCCAAGTCTTAGCCAGGTGGCCTTATGTAGTAGGTGTCCTGTGTGGCCCAGTGCCACAGTCTCCCTGATTACTTGCACTGGATGCTCTGGGAGTGAGCCTTGTGTGGTTGTGTGTGCCCTCTTTTTGTAGTTGAGCCTTGATTATTGTTGGCTCATCAGTTTGTGGGATTGACTCTCAGGCTGACTGGCTGTGAAAATTGGCCACACCTACAATGTTATGAGCTGCTGTGTGGGGGCTAACCCCATGAAGTGAGGTTCCCCCCGCTGGGTTCATGTTACTATTGAGACCACTCTTTGGGTGTGCTGCTTGTAGGAGCTATTTGAGTGGTGCTCTGTTGAGGTATATAAAACAAGCCTCTGAGTGCATTGGTTCTGGCATCCCTTGAGAGGGGCTTCCATGCAGGCCAAGGTCAGTTGCTGCCTGTGACCGGCCCAGAGGTACCTGGTAGGAGCTACAAAGCCATCTGTTTTTGGTTGCTGCCTGAGTTGGACCTGGAGGTATGTGGGAGAGGCCACACGGTGAATTGAGGCAGACTGCCAATAGTACTGGGCCTGTGTTTCAGCTTAGCAAAAGGCCCAGGGCGCCCCCAGTCCTGAGACTGCCTGCCATAAGGCTCAGTAGCTGAATGAACCTCATAGGTACCAGAACTGGATGAGGCGGCGTTACAGGGAGTCACCAGGTTGGGGCGAGTGGTGTTTCCCAGGTTGGCACAGATTCAGATTTATTTCCATTGATGAGCCTGCGGCCACTTTCAAAAGTCTCGGCTTACACCGAGACCAGCCATTGCCCACCTCGGGCCTGCAGAGCCCCAAAAGTTGTTCAAGAAATACTGCAGGGGCTGGTTGCCCACCACTGAAAGTATTTCCTAAGGTGCTTTGTTGGCCTATCAATTGCTACAAAGGAATCTCCTGCTGAGAGTGTGGAGTAGAGCTGATTGCCCGGTAACCACTCAAAATTGCCACAAGCTATTCTCAAGTTGGGTGGGTCAAGGTCTTAGGGAATCGTTGGGATGAAGCGGGCCAATGCAGATTCAGAATTGGCCATGTAGGGAGAGGGTTCAACATGGGCTAGAAGGCACTGGCCTGCAGGCTACACAAAAGAAGGGCTCAACAAAGGGACAATGGCAGCTGTTCCTCCAGCCATCACCCTGAAGCCACACGACTCAGTCTTTCCCTCTAGTCCTGGCACTTTCCAAGCTGTTGTCCCTCTGCCAGAGTCTAGGGTGAGCGCCTGTGAGTGAATGAGTCTATGTGTGGGCCCTTTAAGGGAATGCCTGGATATCCAACTGCCTTCTGTCTCACCTTGATGGCTGGAATCCCCAATGATTTTCACAGTCAGATTTTGTGGAGACTCTTCTTTCCTGCACTGGGAGCCTGGGTTGGGAGCCCTGGTGTGTGGCTGGGGCCTCTTGCTTCTCTGGAGGGGATGCCTCCCTATCTTAATAATAGGGAACATAGGTTAAGGTTTCGTGTAGCTTAGCTTATTACTCTGACTTGTCTTATGTTTCTCCAAATATTAACCAACTTCGTTGTGACTCAAATGCTGTTATGCAATCATCTGGCTCTATAATACTATAAGAAATCTACATAGGCAAGAGAAGAAGAAGAGATTTCAGCAAGAATTTGATTCTTGCCCACCTGGGAATACCAGAATAGAAACTCAATAGTAGCCCAACTGAAAAAAAGATTTCATAAGAATTTGTCATCTGTCCATCTGTCAGCAACTTCACGCAGAGGAGAAATCTAACCAGTACCTGATAGGAAACCCTTCAGTAAGCAAGTCAGAAAGTCCATTTGGGAAAAGATCTTCCGCCTGAAACAACTGAGAGAACACTCACTAGGAAGGATAGCCCATAAGCATTTTTTTGTGATTTCGTTTATCTTAGAAGGGTCTGAGATTTCACACATTCTGAGTTTTCCCTGACAATCTCCCTGCACCCCCAGGTAGCCATTCTGGCTTGGGTGCCCCTCCTATATGTTACCACAGAACTCTACACTTACCTCCACTTAGGCTCCTAACTTTCATGTTTACTTGACCAACCAATGAGCTCCTTAAAGAGGCCTGGCGTATTCCAGATTTTTAGTGTTTCTTGAATATACGACTGAATGATTCATTACCTTACACAATTTGCCAAATTCAACACAGTAAGTTGCTTCAAAGGCGCGAGGGACTTGAGGCTACCATCTGTTATTCCCTTGCAGTCCACCATGTAAATGTGACTAATATTTGGATAACGCTTGTCTATAAATCTGAAGCATGCATCAGTAATTCTTTTATTTCCTGTTTTTTTAAAAAAGGAGAAAAAAACAAGTATTGTATTTGAATCTACACAAGAGTAAAAGTTAATGCTGAACTACATTTTTAATATCACAGACCTTCAAATCGAATCTTTCTGAGGTTACAAGTTGAAAGAGCTTTGAAAGTACAATCGGAGATATGTGGTGCACCAATGAAAATTATTGATGTAATACGAGGACATTTTTCAACTAAAGCCTTGAAAAGAAAAAAGATGATTAAATTAACCGCAGTATAAATGTAGCAAAGTAATGAGGTCATTTTTTTCTCTCAATATTTTCAGAAACAGATACATTAACTATCAAATTTTCAAAATTTTAAAGAAAATGTGTGTGTGCATAAGTTTTTAAATGATTTTCTTACTATAAAAAAAAACTGAAATGAAAAGCCTATTCTTCAATAATTCAAGCCACAGAAAATTCCATCTAATGGGACTGAGAAGAAAATGTACTTTCTAGCTACCTACTTTTACACAGTTGTCCGTCAGAGTTGGCATGTCATTGATGGTCAGATGCATAATTCCAGTGCAGCTGTTTGCAATGTTCTTGAAGCCTTGGACTGAAATCTGAATTGTACAGAGTATGTGAAAATGATGGGAGAACCCAAATCTAATAAAACCCTAAGGTAGTAATAATCAAAGATATGTCATGATTTTGCTACTATGTTTTAAAATTGAAACCATAAAATATGATAGACATAAGAAGGAAATAAAGATTTCTTCCTTTATTATTTAACTTTATATGTATATATTGTGAATTGATCACCACAATAAGTCTAGTTATTTAATTTTTTGAGGTAAAATTCACATAACATAAAATTAATTACTTAAATAAGCCATTTAACCATTAATAATTTTGTGAACTGAAACCTCTATCTAGTACTAAAACATTTTATCATCTTAAAAGGAAACCTTATGCCTATTAAGCAGTTGCTCCCGTACTCGCCTTCTCCCAGCCTTGGTAATCACTAACCTGTATTATGTCTCTATTGATTTATCTATTCTAAATATTTTCTACAAGGGGAATTATACACTATGTCACTTTTCATGTCTAGTTTCCTTCACTTTGCATGCTTTTGAGGTTCATCCATGGTGTAGCATGTATCAGTACCTTATTTGTTTTTATGGTTGAATAATGTAGATATGTCACATTTTGTATATTCATTCATCTGTTGATGGATATTTGGGTTGTTTCCATATTTTGGATATTTTGAATATTGCTAATATGAACATGTGGATACATCTATTTTTTTGAGTACCAGTTTTTAAATCTTTTGGGTATATATCTAGGAGTAGAATTTCTGGGTCATATGGTAATTTTATGTTCAAGTTTTTAAGGAACTGCCAAAATGTTTTCTACAGTGGCTGCACCATTTTACATCCCCACCAACAATCTATGAGGATTCCAATTTCTCCACATCTTTGCCCACACTTATTTTCCATTTTTCCATATTTTTCTTTTCTAAAAATTTGAGTGGGTTTAAAGTAGTACCTCATTGTAATTTTGATTTGCATCTCCCTAATGAGTAATAATATGGAGCATCTTTTTATGTACTTATTAGTCATTTATAAATCTTTTGAGAAATGTCTGTTCAAGTCATTTGTCTATTTTTAAATTGGGTTATTTGTCTTTTTGTCGTTGAGTTGTAAGAGTTCCTTGTATATTCTGGATACTAGACCCTTAGACATATGATTTGCAAATATCTTTTCCCATTCTTTAAGTTGTCTTTTTGGTTTTTAAATAATGTCTTTTGATATACAAGTTTTTAATTTTGATGGAGTTCAATTTATCTACTTTTTCTTTTGTGGCTCATGCTTTTGGTGTCATAGTTAAGAATCCAATGCCAAATCCAAGGTCATGAAGATTTACCCTCAGTGTTTTCCTCTAAATTTTATCATCTTAGTTCTTATAATTAAGGCATTGGTCCACCTTGAGTTAATTTTTTTAGAATTTTATTAAATTTATTGGGGTAGCATTAGTTAATAAAATTTTATAGGTTTCAAGTGGACAATAATATGTCATATATATTACATTGTTTACCTTCTAAAGTCAAATTTTCTTCCATCACCTTATATTTGACCCCCTTTACCTTTCCCCTCCCCTCCTTTCCCTCTATTAACCTCTAAACTTTGTCTGTGTTTATGAGTTTTTGTTTGTCTTGCTCATCTGTTGCATTCAGTTTTATATCCCACCTATAAGTAAAATCATATGATTCTCAACTTTTGCTGTCTGACCTATTTAGCTTAGCATGATAATTTTAAGACATTTTATCCATAAAGATATATGCACCCCATTGTCGTTTGCAGCTTTATTCACGGTGGCCAAAACATCCAAAGTGCTCTTCAATATATGATTGGATAAAGAAGATGTGGTGCATATATATAATGGAATATTACTCAACTTCAAGAAAAGATGATATATTGCCATTTGTGACAACACAGATAGATCTTGAGATTATCATGAGCTAAACAAATGAGTTAACTTTGGTATATGGTGTGAGGTAGGGGTCCAACTTTATATTTTTATATGAAAATATCCAGTTGCCCAGCACCAATTGTTGAAAAGAGTAATCTTTCCCTTATTGAATGGTCATGACACCATTGCCAAAACTCAATTGGATCACTTTGTGAATTGTATAAATGTCTAATCATTGTGCTTTACACTTAAAACTAATATAAAATAAAATTTTTAAAAACTCAACTGACCATAAAAGTATAGATTTTTTTTCCTGCACTGCCAATCCTATTTCATTGATCTATATGTCTATCCTTATGCCAGTAGCACATTGTTTTGATTGTTGTAGGTTTGTAGTACTAATTTCTTTCTTTCAACTATCATTATATATATTAATAGAAGCAATAGAGGTGGAGAGTGTCAAAATAATAAATGATTGAAAGATCAGATATATTTGTCTATGATGAATTACATTAAAATAACCTGTCATTTAGTCTCCATTTCCTATAGCAAATGACAATGGATAGGAAATCAGACAATGTTCAGATTCAGTAAGGGAAACTGAGACTCTATCCAGGAACAGACGTTAGAGGGCACTCCCCTGCAGAGTCATCTTCACCATGGCATGACAGGGAAAATGAGAGACAGCAGCTACAGTGGACCTCTTGGGAGATCTTTGGAGACTCATGTGTGCTATCTCTCACTAAAGGTAACTTCCAAGATTCTGGCATTAGAGCCTCCAACTACTGGAAAAGGACTAGCCAAAAATTAGGAAACTGAGTGTCACATTCTCAGAAGAACCACAGCTAATCTCAAATGTCACTTCTTCAGGAAGTGTCCCTGACCCTTAGATTAGACCAGGTTGTTGTTATACACTTATAGCATCATGCATCATAACTAGGATTATATTAATTTTATTAGTTGTTGAACTAAGTTCCCTATATCCCAGTTTTCAGCAGGGCGCTTATAGCATCCATTGAGTAGATAACCAAGTGATATTATCACATAAATAAATGGGAAAATGTATGAATGAATTATGGGAACCATGTGTATTGGGTAAGTTCTGCTGCCTAGCAGATACTAACATTGTGAACACCAAGTCAAAGGTCAGGGGAAGCCCTTGAAAGCAAGGGGCTGAGCATGCAAGCTTGAGTTTTTGCAGAAACCAAACCCTCAGATACCAATATATTTGGTGTTATGATCTGAATGTTTGTGTCCCCCCAAAATTCATATGTTATAATCCTAAACTCCCAAGGAGATTTTATTAGGAGATGGGTCCTATGGGAGATAATATTGGACTCTTGCCATCATGAATGGAAATAATATGCAGATAAAAGAGTTCCCAGAGAGATCCCCTTACCCTTCTACCATGTAAGGTTACAGCAACAAAGTGCTATCTATGAACCAAGAAGTGGACCCTCACTAAACAGTAAATCTGTCAGTGCCATGATCTTGGACTTCCGAGCCTCTAGGCTGTGAGAAATAAATATCTGTTTTTTATAAGCTACTCAGTCTATGGTATTGTGTTATAGCAACCTGAATGGACCAAGATATTTGGACAATTCTTTCTAAAGAGCTTTTGGGAAATATGTTTCTAAAGCCTGAACAATGTATCTATTTTGGTCCAGGATTTTTTTTTTTTATAAAATTATTATAAGGATATAATGCTTGACATGGAGATTGATATACAAGGTGTTCATTGCAAAATTTCATAATGTTGAAAAAATTATACCAAACTAAAATTCCAACGATGAGAAATGGTTTAACTAAACTATGGCAATTCCTATGATAAAATGAAATACAGTTACTACAAATAATATTTTAGGAGAATGATTGATATCATGATAGAGCTTAAATGAAAAAGTTGGTTACATAAATCTGTGCTACTCAAAATGTGGTCTGTAGACCAGTAGCATAGGCATTACCAGGGAGGTTGTTAGAAATGCAGAATCTCAATCCACCACCTACTGACCCAGAGGCTGCACTTGAACAAAATTCCCAGGTGATTTGCATGCACATTACAGTTTGAGAAGTGCTAATGCAAAGGAAATGAGTGAGCAAAAGAAAAGAAAGTATATTAGTCAGGGTTCTCCAGAAAAACAGAAACAAAACCAGTAGGAAATATATATGTATATATGTGATTCATTTTAAGGACTCAACTCATGTGACTCTGACAGCTGGCAGGTCCAAAATCTATAAAGCAGATGGAAGGCTAGAAATTTAGAGGAGAGTAGCTGTTGCACTCTTGAGTCTGAAATCTGCAGGCTGAAATTTGGGCACGGATTCTAAGTCTCAGCCTTGTAGCACAATTGCTTCTTTTTTGAGAAACCTCAGTCTTGAGTTCAGATGAGGCCTACCCACATTATGGAGGGCGGTCTGCTTTACTCAAAGTTCACTGATTTAAATGCTTACCACATCTAAAAAATACCTTCACCACAACCTCTACACAGGTGTTTGATCAAACAACTGGGCCCCATTGCATAGCCAAGTCGACACACAAAATTAACCATTTTAGTAGGAAATATATCAAAATGTTACAATGGTCATCTCTAAAAAGTGGATAGTTTCTGTGTTTTTCACACTTTCTACAACAACCAAGTAATATCTGAAAAGGAGAAACAGAAAAAGGCAGCATTAGGAAGCCCTTTTGGGAAAAGGAAGCATCAGGAAGTCCTAAGGCAATTTTTGAACCATCTCTTGCTATGAACTTCTCCTTGCAGGGAAATATTAACTACAGATTCTGGAGAGCTCTGCATTTAACCCTTTTACTACAATCCCTGACTCTTCATTGTAAACCTAAGTTGGACCCTCCTTTTCACCTTTGTTTTAAGATCTTGACAGACCAGCCTGTGTCACTGAGCCCTTACTATTTGAGCACTGTGTAATGCACAATGGCAATCTAGAGCTTTTAGTCTTGAGTCAATTCCTCTAAGATAAAATATCTAGATGTTTCTTTCACATTGACAGTGAGGGAAAAGTGGCTCCACTAGTAACATCTAGGCACTAGTCTAACTGTGGATATAGTACAGAATACAGGCATATCTCTGAGATATTGTGAGTCCAGTTCCAGACCACTGCAATAAAGAGAATATCACAAAAAAGTGAGTCAGAA